TCTTGTCTGGAAAGATTTCAGTCATACACGGTATGAGAATTTGATGTGGATCAAATGCGAGGATTTGAAAGTGAAGTCCACCAGTCCAGCCTCAAAGCAGAAGTCCCTGTTAGCTTTGTCCACTTCTTTTATTCAGTCTGTGCACGTCTCTTATCTTGCCAGGGTGTCCTCTTTCGATTTGGTGTAAGGACAGATGGATTTTATTCTAAACCTCCTGTTGAAATATTATATTAATGTCAATATGTCCAAAATACTCCACATCAAGATGACTTCAGGAAAACAACCAGAGGATGGAGTCGGCCATCCTGTGAAAACACGACTTGATTTCTGTATTTTCCTCCACATGAATCATCACAATGTGTGTTTACCCTCGAAGAATGTCTCACTTTGGCACGCTCATGTCTCTCAGACAAGATTTATCGCAGACCGACCTGTTTCTACTTTCAACAACTCAAATGTGAGCTGACTTTTTTTTCACCTTCAGCTTCAACATGTGTGTTTAGAGCGAGGCCCTAAGCCATCATCTCACATGTGGTCCAGGTACTTTATGGTGGGATCAGGCTTGTTGGCTGAGGATGTTCATCTCAGCGTCCAATCCCTCTCAAGGTCAGCAGATCTGACCACTTGGTTCTTGAAATAGGCCAGGGCACTCTCCTACCTCTTCACTGTCTTACTGGCATCAAACGGTCATTTCAGCATGACTTGGAAACTTTTGAAAACTCAATTAAGAATTGTAAACTCAAATCCTGAAGCCAAGGTTTGAAGCTTTCCTCTTCAGTATGACTCCACAATCACTCAGACAGAAGTATAATCAGTTTAGAAGGACCAGTAATCAGGACTGGGAGTGTTGGTGCACCGAGGAATTCCAGGGGAGTGCGATCACAGCCAGACTGGCGTTGAAAGCCCATATCTGTGGCTTAGTGGGAAACCAAAGTCCCAGAAGACCATTTGGAGGGCTGGAGGTGGAGGGGGGATTTTTGTGAACATGCGGGCCTCAACATTTCAGCCATAAAGTAGTTATAGTTAGAGGTTTTTGTGGTATATGCATCCAAGTAAATCCTGTGTTTCTTGATAATTGATGTGCATTCGCCATAAGAATATGAAGTGCTGAATTTACGGTGCATAAAACTGTAATTGTCCCTGGCTTTTTTACAAAACTCTAAAGAAAGTTGGTACAAACTGATGAGATTATTTTACAGAATGAGATTTACACCATAGTCTTCTCTGGATGTATTGGCAATGATGGCAAAAATATGCTGTTGTTAAAATCTGCTAATTAGCGCCCAACACCAAGTCGATTTTCAAAGATCGACAGCCAGTTTGCTCGCTGTTCTTGCTGGCCTGCTGCTTGGCTTGGCATCGAGTCACTCATGTGGTATCTCCCTTCACAATACAAGTAACACACATGCTTATATTTGACTTCTTGTGCCATTATGATTGTATTCTTGTTATATCATAACTTTATTTTCATTATATTATGACTCGATTCTTGTAATCTTGTTTTTTTAACCCTTTCTGCTGCTCCAATACTTTGCCTAAAAAGTGCAGTTCACTGAGTGGCCACTTGAGGGTGACAAAAATCAGTTAACATGTTTGCACTTACACAAAAAAACTGTCGTTTTGTTTGTCGAAGTAGGACATTGAAATTGCTCTGAAAGGATATCAAGTGGGTTTTTTTAACGTTTGCACTTATTGGCAGATATCGGTATGTGAATTCATCCCCTAACATGTTAGCTCTGTCAGCGTTTGTCATACATTGATTTGTTTTGGCTCGTGCAGGGATGTCAGTGTTTTTATTGGCCTGTTCTGCAGAGATGAGAGCAGCAGTTGTTGAATATAATCTGGGACATGTTGTTTCGATGGGTATGATGGATGCAAAAATGAGCCGGTGTCACACAAGCTGATGCTAATAAAGGCTGTGTCTTAATCAATAAAAACCCAGGGCTAAGCAGCTCCTTTTTGAGTTTTATGTGTAACTTCGATAATTTTGCTTTTGCCAGCCCCTCAGTCCAGTTTTTACCATCATGGAGGAAGCTAAGATGACACTCCCTTGGCTTTAAAAAGATATTTATCAAACCAGTGGGTGAGGTAATGGTATCTCCGTCGAGTTTTTACAATGACTAAGCCTGTGAAGTGGAGCAACAGGTTGGCATAGCTCCCCCCAGCTTACATGTATCATCACACATTTGCCATAAAACACATCCTGGCACGACCTGGAGGACTCTGCCCGCCCGCAGGTACAAACCCCCTTCGCTTAAGCTCAACTGTGTGAGCCCTCATCCATCTGCATCTCTGCTGCCCCCGTTTCAACACAGCAGCTATTGAAGTGGCACAAAGCAGACTGCAGCAGATACTGTCAGGAGGTGTGGAAATACAGTCTCACTCATCCCCATGGCTCTGCCTCCTTCCACTTTGATGCACTGCCAGGAAGACATTTCTCACACTGATACGCTCATGGCTGCAGAACAGAGAGGTGCACTATCACTCAGCGTGGAGTGTCCAAAAATGATACTTCTTTTCTATCTCTCTGCATTCATCAGTCTGCATCTTTAATACCTCAACTTTTCAGGGTCTTTTCAGCGTCCTTGGTCGGTATTGTCTAACAGGGGAACAGTGTAATGAGTATCTGAGGTGACTAACCAGTGGCTTGGGATGAGTCACAGAGCAGCCCTCTTTTCAGAAGCTCAGAATTGTCTTCACTGCTCCCTTTGACTCCCCAGAGATGATGAGTAGCTTCACCGTCCACACAATGGCGGTGTACTGCAGGCTATTCAAGTTGTAGGCAGATTACAGGGCTGCTTAAATCCCCTGATTTGATTCGGCATGTCTCATCTTCCCAGATTTGGAGCAGCACAATAACGCAGACGCTTGTGTTGATAGCAGGGCCTCATGAAGAAGGAGGATAAAGACTCTGTGGTAATTTGAGTTTTGTTGTGAAAAGTGCAGGGTAGGCTGAGCTCAAAGAAAAAAAAAATATTCAGTAAAGACTACCGAGACATGTATGTGCAGGAGTTTGACTGAAGAAATGAAGCAAGACAAGATGGAAAAGTTCAGTTGTGTATTATAGAGTGCATACAGAGAATAAAGAAAACAGACAACATAACAGTGAAGCTAAAACACCTGGAGCTCCCCCTACTGACTGACAGCAGTATAGGCCTAGTTAGAGAGACAATGACCTAGTTTGGGATTAAGTCTTTGCTCAAATTTCTGCTGTAAATTGTCCTCGTTTTATAAGTTGTGGGTTAAATATTCAAACTGCATAATAATTTAGAACTGTTGAAAAATGCCTTTTCAGTATGATTGATTAAGAGCTCATTAAATCCCATCAGTTTGATCATCTTTACCTGTTCATGTGACCAGATTTGTCTTTTTGAATATGGAGTATTTACAAAACTTGCTTTCAGGGCTCTTCAAATGAGCCAGCACCACTAAAAATGACAAACACTGAATAATTCTGACGTTGAAACACAATAGCTCAAGAGCAATAGTGCCGGAGTCACGCATCTTGCAACTACACAAGGTTGAGGGATCTTAACCTTTTATCTTAACCATTTATGTGTGTTTTGATTGTCTAGGAGAGCAGTTGTCACACATACACACTCATGAAAAGTGTGTGTAAATAGTGAAGTATTTTTTTAAAGGTTTCTGTTCTACATCCTTGGCAGTTTTCTTGACTTTAAAATCTCCAGAGTGGCTGAACTAATTTAATTTGGACCTTTCAAATTGAATTGAAAACAACCAGCTACCTTTGTAATCCTTTCAACCAGACTTCCCGCTGCATCACTGAGTTTTTTCTTCTCTGGGTATTAGGTAAGAAGTTTGTTTACATGTGTGTGAACCATGTTATCACCTTTTCCTTTTTTTTTTTTTTTCATCGATAGTGTGAGAAAGAATGAGTCACAAAGTGAAACTTATCTGATTTCCCCCAGACACAGGACACTCCTGTCAGCATCAGTTAGTAGCCTTAGCTTGCCATCTAGTGGTGAAAACCATTTCACACACGGTGCTGCAGAGGACTTTCCCAGAGTTTTTGATCACTTCTGTCTGATTGAAGTGGATTTTCTACATGGATAGGAGATTAATTCTGACACCCATGTAGCTCGATTGCTTAAATGCACTTAGTCCAACATTTTTGGTTTCAGCCACAGTAAATAAAAGCAAGACACTGACACAGGGCCAATGGAGGGATGTGTCAGACAGCAACCTCCACCAGGAACCCCGGGGCCGGCCCCTGCAACCTCAAGCGACCACTGCTCCCGGAGCCAAGGGCTCCCTCAGAGGAAACACTGGGGGTCCTAAAAATGATAAAAGGATAGAGACAAGTAAAAACTAAAATATGAATAAAACACAGACCTAAAATAAACCTAGGCTAACTAGAATAAATGACAATAAAACAAATGAATATCAACTAAAAGCTCATATGGTGATAAGAAATATTTTAGTCAGCTGGTCATTATTACTCACTCAAAATATGCCATATTTTGGTTCTCTCTCCTGCCGCTGTTATTGTGCCAAGGACCCTCACATGCCAGGAATGGGTGGAAAAGAAACTAAGTTTACAGTATATATATATATATATATATATATATATATATATCTTTTATTTTTAACTGTGCAATATCCAAAGGGAGGGGAAAAAGTGCCATGATGGGACCCACACACACACACACACACATATATATATATATATATATATATATGTGTGTGTGTGGGTCCCATCATGGCACTTTTTTCCCCTCCCTTTGGACATTGCACAGTTAAAAATAAAAGAAAACTACTTTAATTTGTCATATATTGTCCTCTTTTTGATAGTGATGGTGTTACTCATTTTTACGATAGTGTTCTAGGGATAATTTGTAACATTCCTAATACTGATCAAATCTGAGAAAAGGAGGTCTCACTTGATAACCCCCCACACCTCAGGTCAGGTTGTCTCAGAGACCATCAGACGGTGACAGTGAGAGCATCAATCCCATCCGTGTGCACGCGGACCTGAACACGAGCTGCTGGGAATCCACCCATGCAGTGACGTCACGGGGCTCTGACAAGCTGGTGGTGCCGGAAGAAAAGATGGCGGATCATGAGGAGCAGCTATCCGACGAGGAAAAGGTAAGACGCCTTTTTATCCGCTAAAAACACCCAAACTGGAGACGTTATCGCTCGGGTTTTGTGTCGCGTAAGAGTCGGACACTGTGTGCATCTCTGCGTCGACCGAACGTGCTGAAACGGGTGTAAAAAGCCCGGGCCTCCTCCTCTTCTCCTCCACCGCTGCTGCTGCTGCTGCTTCTGCTCTCTGTATTTTTAGCTCAAGTTCCGCTCATCTGCGAACCTCAAACGGAGGCTCCTTGTACGGTCCTGACTCAAAATAGGAGCCGTGGACTTGTTATGAATTCACCTAAGCTTGCATCCCACACCTCCGTGGTTCCGTGGACTGGTCGTTTCTTGATTTTAGTGTTTTGGTTTTTGGTGTTAAGGAAGTTTTCATACAGGAAAGATCGCTAGCTAGTTAGTGTAGCATAGCCGGAGCCTGCTAACAGATAGCCGGACTTACCAACACGCCCTTTTTCGCTGTTTGACACCCGCTTTTCTTTCGGTACACTAATGTAATTAAAAACAGAGGACAAACAAGACCGATTATTTCACATAAAGTGGGATTATAATCTCATTTTAACAGGATTTTACGAGCTAACTGCTTCACCTCCTCTAAACGGGCTTTCATTCAGCATAAATGTGTTACAACTGTGTAAAAAAGATGTGTAAAATCCCCCCAAAAAACAAGAGTTTGTGTTTTTATAATCTAGTTAAAGTGCAATCTAATGCTTTTGTGCAAATCAGGAAGTGAAGGTTTAAGTAGAGGCAGGTTTACACCTCAGTACACCCCTGCCAGAGTCAGACTTTTTCAGTTTCTCATTTCCTTAAAAGAGCATAGACACACACACACACTCACACACACACACACACACACACACACACACACACACACACATACACACACACACAGAGCCAATCCTCTCAGACATCAGGAGTGTTCATCTGCATAAAACCTAAATGCACTTTGCTATGTCCTCCTTAATGGGTTTATATGACTCTGCAGCCTTAAATCTTTTAATGAGTCTCTTTATTTTGGTCAATGTTACTACGGTTAACTACCGTTTAAAGCTCTGGTACTAACACTTTTGATCAATAGTTAAATATTTTTTTAAAGTTTCAGTAAATTGTCATAAAAAGCAGTAATTTTAGTGTTGATGTGTGATGTGTAAAGACATGCTACATTTAGGGTTAGGATTGCAGTGTATTTGTGTTATAATGCCCACAACAGCTTAAATATAACAAACATTTATCTAATGATATATCAATATATCCCTTTAAAAGGCAGCATGTTATAACTGCCACCATGAGCAGTCAACCAGGAGTCACTTCTTAAGGGAAATCTGTGGAAAGTCCTGTATTATTGTTTAATATTGAAATCAATATTAGACACCAACATCATATAATTGCATCTCAAGAGTCAGGAAGACCATATAATCCTCATCATCATCTTTTTTTGCAGGTTAAATACCTGTTTTGTCACTGTTTTAAAAAGAACCCGAGCACTCAAGATCAGTGGTGGGCATAGATAATGAGAAATATAACAATAACCCTTCATGTGTTGATGAAATGTCAGCTTAGATAAGAGGTTATCTGTTCATCTTGTTAATCTAACTCAAGATCCAAGTCCAGTGAAAGGTCTACGAAGGTCTTATTCTCAAATTTAGCTCAGCTTGTAAGAGCAAAATGTGGATCCCTTTTACTTTCTCAGGTAAACAAACTGACTGTAGGAAGAGTTAAACAGACAGGTGATGCTAAAATGATGGTGGTGTCTCAGCTGAGCATCAGTATCGACAAATATTGATCTTGTTGACTGACATTGGCACTGAAGCAAACAGTGTGTCGTGTCAAAGTCAGCAGCTGAACCTAACCTATCTTCATCCCGATGTGGAAAGTTAGTACAACCAACTTAGAGAGGTTTTCTGTTGGGCCGAGGAAGTCCCCTATCGGACAAACTCTGATTCAGTTCAGGGATCGAAAGAAAACTGTGCAGCATGGGAGTGTTACACGGTCTCTGAGAAAGATGTTTTAAGAGAGATGTTTTAAAAATCTGAGACTAAAATCATGCAAAGAAGTAACGCAAAATCATCTGTATTGTCTGTCAGCATGAGATGAATCAATATTTTAAACATCAGTGCTGGTATCAGCTCAGATTTTCACAGAATATGAATTTAACAATTTTAGAAACATGTGTTTTGAGTGAATGACTCCATTTCAATCAGTTTTTCATCACATTAAGTGTCAGAAATGTGAAAAGTTTGCTCTATTGGGCGTGTAGGTTTGAACAAATAGGAAGTTTGGGTTTGACTGTGTGTGTACGTGCACTGAACTTGACTACCCACCGCTCTGCACAGGTCAAACATGGATCTTTTTGTCTAAGCAAGCTCGACAACATCCCAGAGAACTATTTTGAGCATTGTCATTAGATAATGGGCGAGAACTCTTCACTTGTTACTGTTGAGGTTACGTAATGAACCATTTAGAGTCGGGACAAGGCCCTGGTTTTATTTCAGTCTGTTCCACATCAGCCTGAGTCAAAAGTTTTTGTGAGCCAAGGCAGCTCATTGACCCGGGGGTGTGACTGCGTCATGCTCATCAGCACACAGGCATCAGCTGTTAGCCAAGCATTTCATGACAGGGCCGGGTCCTGGAGGTGATGGGGGTCACAGCGGGATTTCGCAGCCTTCTACTGTCACCACAGGTGTTGTTTTTATGTCGCGCTACATGTGAAGTTGTGGTCAAACTGTTGTGAATTTCAGGCGTTGAAGCTGATTTTGACTTTTGCCTGCAGCGGTCACTACGCCACAACCCACTTTCACTGTTTGATTTCAGAGGGCTGGAGGAGCGATGGTTGGCGACCTGCCAGGCTGACTGGTTGAGGAGAGGCCTTGCCAGTAGGCAGTATTTTACCGCTGGAAGTGGTTTCATTTCCTTTCCGAGAGAGCTGCATTATGCGTCCATCCACTGTATGTTATTGCGCTGTTAAAAGCCCAGTGTTTCCACGCAAACACTGGTGTTACAGTTTGTACTTTTAAAGGCGGTCCCTACAGTGCATTAGCTCAGAGCAATCAGCCATCTGCTGCCGCCCCTCAGCCTCTTTTTCATGCAGCTTAGAAACCGGGAGGAAACAGGCGATTTTTTTTTTATCCTCCTGACAGTGAAAGTGGTGGAGAGTTCCCAAAAATCACATGCACTCATTAGGAATCGCTCTTTGACTGTGATTTGTGGAATAAAAGGAAAACTCCAAACCACATCGGGCGGCCTGCCAGGGAGCTCAGCCCCAGACAGACTCTCCTCGGCTGATGGTACTTTCCTAAATTGAATGACAAATCTGCAAACTGCCTTTTAACTCCCTGTGATCTGACATTACTGTGATGACTGAATCTATTTTGGAAGCGGCAGACACTGTTTCGATAGACGGCCTCATAAAATGTTAAAACAGACTATTTTTGATGGCAGGGCTGCGTCTGTGTCGATTTGAATAAATAATCTCAGGTGGATCCACGTGAAATTCTCCTGAAATGGGAGTGAGAGTTTTCTGTCAGTGTCAGCGTGTTTTTCCATAAAAAGATCGAAGAGCCCTCTGATAGGAAACGACTGAAGTCACTTCCTTTTGTAAATGATTAAACTGCAAGTACAGTCTTTTTTTATTTGCCTCCTGTTTTAGTCAACTGGTTAGCAGAGTGCATGCTTCCTGATTGCAGCAAACAAACCACACACTGGTATTACAGGAAACTGCTGTTACTCAACGTGTTTGCAGTCAGTTCCTCGTCTGTGCACGGTGACTGGTTAACTTTCAAGATACAGAACCTGAGCGCTGCTAACCTGCAAGAAAAAACCTGAAGTTATGATCAGAACTTTGACAAATGACGAGAACTCTCTCAATATGCACAGCCTGAATTTATAAGAACAGGGCAGCTGCTCACCTCGCATTAAAAAGTCTGCAAATGGGGCACCACCAGTTGGCTTGGTGGTTTAGGTGTGCCCACATACAGAAGCTGTAACTCCTGTGAAGGCGTTCACTGGTTTGACAATCAGCCATGACCCTCTGCAGCATCCCTCCCTACATATGCTGTCTCCCTACAGCTTTACTATCAGTAATGCCAAAAATATGTCCAATAAAATACCAAATAATAACATAAAATTATGATATTAGTTTTTATTGTGTCCTCCTAGGGCTGGGCAATATAGCGTTAAATCAATATCATCAAATATTGATCAGTTCACCTCGATAACGATAAATGGATGATAACTGCTCCACAAGCCGCCTACCCCCTTCCACATTAACTTTGTCTACTTGAGTCGCCATTCCAGCCACTACAACTTTTGAACCGTCCTCCATCTCCACCTGGGGTGGAGTCACGTCCCTGATGTAGGACAGCGTCTTAAAGGGACATCAGACCATAGCCTACCTACACACATCCAAAAAAACAACTTTTATTTATTTATCTTTTTTGACACTGAATATACCGACATGGGCAAGAGGACGTTGGTTATTGTCGTAAATTTTGGTATCGGTAAATTTCAGTTTGTCGCCCAGCTCTATGTCCTCCCTCCTCTCCAAACTGCAAATATAAAAAAACTAAACATCCTTGCGTTGTTTTTTTCCTGATGCTGATCACATACGCGTGTTGGGCTGATTCTAAGTGTTTCTAAACCATCAACAGACTGAACACTTGTGTAGTTTCATTACCATCATATCCCAGATGCAAAATAGGCTGCATGGCTGCATGCACAGCTGACGTACATGTGTCCAGCATACAATAAAACAAATGCATTTTGAGGTTCTGTTCAACTGCACATAGTAGTGTCATAATGTGGTTCAACAAACCTCAAATAGAGTGTCTGGATTTTTGCAGAAACCCACACAAGACCTCGTTTTGGATGAACTGTGGGTTTGGACAGACTTCCGCAATGACAGACTTCCTGTCTCTCAAAGTTTGCAAGTTTGCAAGAACAGAGAAGACTAGACATTTGGACGTCGTTATCCCCAAGTGTTATTGATCAAACGGAGCTAGTGTGCTGATAACTGTGTCCATTCGTACTGTTTCACAAGTTCTAAATGATCCACAGAGTCGTGAGTTAGTTAGTGAAAGTTAGTTTATTTCCGCAGTAATAGTAGTTCTATTTGTTTTTGATAAGAGTCCAGACCAAAACACTCAGTGGTTTGTGCGTTGAACAGGCAGACAGTGGGCCAGTCATTCACATACCTGTGTTAGTGAGCAAATGTAATGAGGAAGCTAAAAGTTATGTTTCCCCTTCAGGCTGATCAATAGGGACATTTAAGACCTTTTTTATGCTAAAATATTCCACCAGTTTCTGAGAAACCATATAGCATACAGCCAAGCACCTCCATCTCCAAGAATATCATCTGCAGACATTTAGGAGAGGTTTTCTCTGTAATCACTTGTAAAAGAGGAAAATTAAACAGCAGGCCAGCCACACTAATGCAAATACAGTTAGCATAATATTAACAAGGCTAATGTCAAACAACGTGAAGGCACTGATATTATTAATGCAAATGGTCAAAGTACGGTAAGCTAATATAGATAAAAGCATCTACTGAATGTAATCTATAAGGCTGTCTTTAACGGCTGTTTGATTTTAAGATATCACATTCACCTTCTGCATATCTCAGCAGAGATTAGAAAGACAGTAGCAGCTACTGAACAAGTCTACTGAGTGATTGTTTGAATCCTGGGAGTAGGGGTAGGCGATATGGAAAAAAAATTATATCAATAATTTTTTTGAAATTATATCAATAACTTTTTTTTGCAAAGTCACGATCACGATGTCAGCCGAAGAAGATACACTCTGCAGAGTGGAAGGAAAAAGAAAAAGGATTCTGTATTTTATCCTTTTTTCGACGGATTTATCCGCTACTGCAGTTACTTTTATCAACGTGTAATACATTAACTCTGTGGGTAAATTAAAATTTACTCTCTTAACTTTTAACATTTTGATTTGAGAGTGCAAGAAATGTATTTAGACACATGTTATGGAAATAATGCGCACTACAGACGGTTTTACGATCTCTGTGCTTTGGCAGATCATCGTCACTTTTTATCGTCAGATCGCACGCCCCTACCTGGGACTCTCATTGTTACTCTTACACCATAAAGATACAAATACTTCAGACTAGATTTGAAGTCTGAAACCAAATCTTTTATTGTGTCTGCCTAGAGCTGTATCTGCTGAGATAAATCAATCTGCACACTGTTTGTTACCATTATGTTTAATTATGATGCTAAACAAGCTCACCACATTCAAAAGGTCAGCCCTCATTATCATGACATGACTTTATTTACTGCCTGTTCTCAAATCTCAGATGCACCAATGAGCACAGTGTGTAGTAGAAAGAGTGCTCTTCATCCTCCTCATTTACATGTCAGTGATCAGCGCCTCATACAGAGGTTATACCTTGAATTACCGTCTCTATAATTCCCATTTGTGCTGTAGATCTTCATCTTTGACTGCCAGGATTGCTTTTTTCCATTTTGTGCAACAAATATAAAGTGTTGGATCTGAACTAACAGATCTGAGGCAGTGGTGGAGCAGTTAGTCCAGGGTCCTGCAAGATAAGTGGACAGTTTTTGCCAAGAGAGTTGCAGCTTTGAAGAAAGACAAATCGCTTGAACTGCCCTCACAAACAGATCTTTTTCAGGAGGGATTCTCGACAGGAAGCTCTTGGACAGTTTTAGGAACAATCTGAGCCTGTCAAGACTTTGAAGAGAAGCACTTATACTTCCTGCTGGCGATGCCATTTTTTGTATCCGATAACCATTGTGATCCTGATAATATTTAAGGGTGACTCTCACAAAACTGGAGTACGAAGCATTTTTCCAAAAACAAATGCTGTATTGGAGCGCTTGGACTGAGTTTGTTTTTGTCCACAAGGTTCTAGTTCTTAAGTTTTATGGTGTGTTGGTAACCAGGTTGTAAAGACACCACAGATTAAGTGAAATACTTTTTGGTTGTGAAGCATTTGAAACCAATTAGCCCCATTTGTCCCCGAGCATAACTCATGAACAGCTGACTTGGACCATGGGAATAGATGGCATTGTTGAAGGGTGAAAACTCGGCCGTATCTCCGCTTCAGCCGAAGAATGCAAAGACAGAGGGGAGCTGTCTGTAAGTGCCTGCAGCAGCCTGAGAGATGTGGGGATGAAGAAAAGCGTGTTTTTCTATCTCAACACTTAGCAGCACATGTCTAAGGGATTGAACTGCTGCTCTGTTAAAGTTCGAACAAGAGGAAGCGTTCTTAGGTGGGTGTCAGGTCAGGAAGAACTCACGTTTTTCTCCTGAGGACTGTTTTTTCAGCTGCTTCTGAAGTTAAAGTTTAAGAGAAGGAGCTTTAATACAGAGACTCCAACCTCCTGTGTGTTGATTAGTAAAGACCCAAGGCTTTACACCGCAGTGCCTGCATACTGTAGGTCGTAACATAAGCCCGAGGTATTCCATATACTGCATAGCTAGCTGCTTGAGGTAAAGTGACCCTGCTGTCTGAACTAAAAGGATAAGTCGTTGCGGTGCAGAGTGAAGGTGACAAATGTGCACTTGTGAAGCAGATAAGGCAGAAGGATTCAGGTTTAGTGTTTGCACAGCACAGTGAGAGTCCGGTCTGAGCTGAACTGCTGGATGAGCAAACATCGATTTGATTCATTGAAAAGTAGTTCTTTAGGCAGCCTTTGCTCTGTGTGTCTCAGCGGCTTGTCTTATGTGTGTTTATGTTTTTACGTCCGGTGTTTTGTCTTGTTTGGGTCGACTAATTAACTCCCATGAGGAGGTTTGAGAAGTTTATGAAACAGACTGACATTATTTTGATGCCTTTTTACGACATACAAAAGCAAACAAGAACCTAAGGGACAAAGATTGGTGATTTTGATCTTGTTTAGATGCCAGAAACTGCTGCAGGAGGGTTGGTGTCAGCCAAGGAGCTATAAGAAACAGCTGTGTTTGTACATGTGCCTCACAAAATACTCACCATGACAAGTTAGAATGGCACTATCTAAAAGTCCCTCACAGGTAGGGCTGGGCGATAACTTTTGAACCGTCCTCCATCTCCGCACCTGTCTTTCCCTATTTGTTACGGACTGGATGGGGTGGAGTCATGTCCCTGATGTAGGACAGCGTCTTAAAGGGATATGAGACCATAGCCTATATCAACACACATCCAAACCGACTTTTATTTATTTACTTTTTTGACATCGAATATATTGACACGGGCAAAATGACGTCGGTTTTTGTTGTAAATTTCGGTATCAGTAAATTTTTGGTCTTACTGCCCAGCCCTACTCACAGAAGCTGTAAAGTTCCAGTTTTGCCAAAGATATATAAACAAAGTCTCATGTTTGAGTTTCTAAATTTTGGCTTAAAGTTTTTCATTTTTCATGTTTATAATTTTTAAATGTCAGCTGTGGGTCTCAGGAACTACAAGAATTACTAGTATTGACGTTTACTTCTAGGGGCTTAACTGTGACTGAAGTCTACTGACCTACCCAGACATCCACCCACTTATCCACACATCTTATCTTATCTATCTGGAGCACTCCTAACTAAATAAGTAATTTTATATCCTGAGCTGACCCTGGCTTTTGGTCTCAAAGATAACCTAACATGGTAGGACAAGATGAACCATCTAGGTCAACTTTTGGCTATCTCTAGGATTTCAAAAGTTCAATAAAATGGGTGATGGATGGAAATAAAAACATCACATCCTCCAAGATGTGCCACAACAAACTTGAACTTAATAAAGAATAAGTAAATACTGATGCACAGTTGATATCGATTGGTGGCGATATGACTGCACCTCCTCTTTATTTTATTTGCATTAGATCATTTCTAAGAAGCCGACACACATCCACAGGTCCTCTGTCTCACTCTGCCATCACACTGTAGACTTATTATTCATAAGTGACTGCACCCACAACCATGCATTATCACCCAACCCCCCATTTTTCACCCACATATGACTGGTCTCTCTCTAGACTCAGCTTTGCCTCTGCTTTTTGCATTTCAAGGCGCTACTGGGACCCTGGTTTTTCTTCTTCCTTCTATCTAGGATATTGAAATGGAGGCATGCCAGCGAAGGGGATCAAATTTAAAGAGATGATGCAGCTTAAAATGCCTACAGGCCAAAATATTGCCTCACTTTGCTCCTGCTGCGGTTTTTTTTCCTACCATTATTTTCATCTTCATAGATCTGGATGGGCGCGATAAGGCGATTGGGATGCCGGGATTAGGATCAATGTGGTTTGGGTGTTCGCGGGTGTCGTTTGGGATTAAGAACGGTGCTCCCCTAGGAGGGTGTGGGATGGGGTGGGTGTTGGAAGGAGTGTGTGTTGCAAGGAGAGGAGGCGTTGCTCGGTAATATGAGGATGAATATACAGTGAGCAAATGGAAAGAAAAGAGGCCAGCTGGTGTCCAGGCCAAGAGAGCACAAAGACACCGGGATCACACGCAACAGGGGGGTGCCATGTCCCATGTCCTTTGGCTGTGTGCGTGCCAGTCTGTTGGCGCTAGCATTTTTAAATCCAGCTCCTACTCTTCTGGATTCATAGAAAGATAAAGGATTGATGGTGGCCGGTAAAAAGCCTCTCAGGAACCACAAAGAAAGACTTTATCCATCATAACAATGGCTGCCATGACTGTGGTTAAGCCTCATTTAGATAACCCTCAAACTTACCCAGAAAAACACTCACACATCAGTTTTCTGAAATGGCTTAAAAATTGGTCCACCACCTACATCATTTGGATGTTTTGTTTAATCTTGAAAGCAGCAGCAGTTTTTATTCCTCAATGGGAAATCTCTGCGAACTTTTCAGACAAACTGGGAGCAGGAAATTCACAATAGTCGTACAGTTTCCAAAGTTTTGGACATTATTGATTTGGACTGTTGAGCTAATGATTCAGTCCATTCACTGTTAGTTTGTTGATTGTTAGTCTAGTAGTTGTCTGATCAATTAGAGGTCTGGAAAAGGTGATGAAAGTAGATTCAGTGTCTATAAAAGTCCAAAATGATGTTGTGAAGTTTCAGATTTATCCACAAACCGAACAGAAATCATAAAATGTGTGAGCTTAGTATTTAGATCAAGAAAATGGAGATAAAGTTGTTTGAAGGCCGTGTTTGGTTAAACTAGTAAAGAGCGATGTATAATCAGCACAGGTGTGTGGATGTTAAAACGACAAAAACTTTTGCGTTTACTCCTAAATTCCTGTCAGTGTGGACGTGTTGATACCACCTTCAGACAGACTTTGAAGCGGAGAGTGGTTTGCCCTTCATCCAAGACCACAAAGCCGTACCAATTTCTCATGACTGACTTAGGAAGGGTAGCCTACAGTGGCCTGGAGGCGCGAGACATGATAGAGAGGAAAATCGATTTGGCAAAATTAATTTTTTTAACATCGTCATAATCAAATAATCCGATTACCATTTTAAAATCGATCAACCGTGCAGCCCTACTGCAGACTCAAATTATTCAAACTGTTGGAACAAAAATTCAATCATTTGTTAAAGTTCAAGTATCAGCAGATTCATTCTCTTTGGTATTAGATCTTAAGTGTGGCTCTCTAACTGATCCTAAGGAAAATGAGCCAAATCTGACACGCTGTGGGATTTCTTTTAAACAAACAGATGGGTAAACTGAATCCAGCTTCACTTGTAGTTGTGCTGACGATGTGACGCTCTTCTCAGCATTCAAATGTTTAGTCCTAAAATGTTTGTTGCAGTTGGAGGCATAAACTTAGTCAGACTTTATTCAGTGAAGTGATGTGGTAGCACAGCGAGCCAGAGGAGCTTTGAGTTAGTTAATAAAATTCTCCGCAGAGACTCGTTGCCTTGAGCTCGGCCTTTCATGTAGCTCGGTGGCAGTTGGTATTCAAAACTGGGTCTCGGAGCTCAAAAGTGTCCCAGAAGTCTGTCTCCCAGTCTAACAGTCTGACTCTGGAACTTTTCTTCACCTTGTAGCTCAATATTCAAATTCCTGCACTGCAGTAATTACCTCTGCAGAGTAGGCCGTGACTTATTCTGTAAACCATCAATCCAGTCAGAAGCACATTTGAGCTGAAGGGGTTGTTTTTGCTCGGATTGCATTGACTTCTTCTTGTTACTGGCTTGTTATGTTGCATCTAAGTGGGAAAAAAGTCAGACTATTTAACTTGGGCGAAAAGCATAGGAGAATGAAGTCATGGTTTTTATTTGATGATTGATTTCTGAACACATAAAGGACTGAGGTTCATTGTCTCAGTGCATAAGTGGAGCTGCTTTAAGGTACTTAGAGAAAGAGGAAGTATTACCTTCTTCTTTAGTAGCTTTTAACAGTCAGTGTCTTTCTCATAATCAGCTAATGGAGTCTCCCCATCCACTGCCCAGTCTTCCTCGTCTTCCTCGTCTTCCTCCCACCTCTCAATCCCCGAGCTTCATCCCCTTCTCCTCTTTTTTCCTCATAAACTTATCAAGACTTGAGACAGTTTTCACTGTCTCGTCTTGGCTCCTCAGTATTTAGATGCACTCAATGTAGTTTTTCGACACTTGACACCGAAATTCATATTGCTGCCTTTTTATAAGATCCAAAAGCAATCAAGACCATAAGCAATAGTTTTTCCAAATTCCATTTTTTCCATTTTTATTTTTTTTTTAATTCCGTTTTTTACCTTTTAAACTTATTTACTACCATAGGGTGTGTGCTTTTAGCGCCAGTAAATAAAACGTCAATTAATAAAATGCCATTATTCCTAAATTTAAAGCTGTAATACATCATTGCCCAGTATTTCAAGTCAAATGATAATGTTGTAACATAACAATGTACCGATAAGTACTTAAAGAACAAAGTTTAAATAAATTCAAGCAATAGCTAACATGGGCAGCACAGTGTTTTTCTTTGTAATTATAGGGCCTAACAAATCCTAATTTTTGATGCCTAAAACCTAGAGCTGGGCAATATGGCCTCAAATCAATATCACGGTACATCGAGCAGTTCACCTTGATAACGATAAATGGACGATAACTACTCCACAAGCTGCTCACCCCCTCCTACATTAACTTTTTCTACTTCAGCCGCTACAACTTTTGAACCGTCCTCCATCTCCTCACCTGTCTTTCCCTCTTTATTACCGACTGGATGGGGTGGAGTCACGTCTTTGACGTAGGACAGCATCTTAAAGGGACATGAGACTATAGCCTACCTACACACATCCAAAACCAACTTTTATTCATTTATTTGACATGAAATATATTGACATGGGCAAAATGACATCAGTTTTTGTCGTAAATTTCAGTATCAGTGAATTTTGTTTTATCACCAAGCCCTACTAAAACCCATGCAAAGGAGTAGGTGTCAGCTGAAGAAACAGACCTGTTTTTACAGTGATCACATAAAATACTAATTATAAATTAAACCATGGTCGTGTGTAGTTACATAGTTTTAGGAGTAGAGCTCTATTTCAAACTTGTCTGTAATGTTTTCACGACCCAACACTGATAGAGGTGTATTTGCTGTTCTTAATCCCGAAAGCATGAAATTCGATCACTGGGCTGATTGCACTTTAGGGCTCGAAGGCTTGAATGTGTTTGTTCCTCCCTCTGAAAGCGTCAGAAAAACAGAGCTGTTATATTTATAGTTCCACCCTCAGTAATCGGTTCCTTTTTCCATTCAGAGTTTTTCTCTTTACATCCGTCCATGTCGGGGTTTGGGGTGCTTTCACCGCCGCTTGGACTGATGGATGACTTTGCTTGTCGATGTGTAAACCTGGCTCTTGGATCCGCCGCATGCATATGGAAAGTCTGTTTACATTGCCATCACACGTAATGAGGGAGACCCGATGCAAATTGGCTGTCCACGGGGATTCCAGCTCACAAACACAGTTTTCCACCAGCTGTTTAACAAAAGAGCGTGCATGTGTGCGGAGTTTACAAAGACACGCTCATCTCCTTTGTGCAGCAGATAACGGATCATTAAGCATAAATGGGTCATGATGCTGTCATGACAGAGGATTAGACTTATGCAGATACACTTTGATCTCAACAACACACACGCACACACACACACACACACACACACACACACACACACACACACACACTCACACACACACAAACCCTTGCAGAGTGCCTTCCTCCTCTCTGCATCGCTCATTAGCAAGAATCAATCTGCAGCTCTGCACGGTGCCAGAGCACTTGTAGGCACACACTGCTAATAAGGGCCCAGGAGACAGACAGACACACACACACACACACACACATCACACACACACACATGTACATAGATATGAACACCTTCACTGATGCACCAGCCTGTCAGAGCGCGGGGAAACCTGGCCAAGCCTCTGCCGCTGATAGAGAGCGGTTCAAAGATACAGAAGCGGGGCGAGAGAGAGAATGTGTACCGGAGTCCTCAGCACATTTTCATGTCCTTATATGGTCGTAAACCACGCGGGGGAGGGAGGGGCTGTCTTCTCACTGTCAGTTTGACATGTGACCTGGAAACAGGAAGTGTTGTGGTGAAGCAGAAGCAGTAGAAGAGAAGTGAAGAAGAGGAAAATGATTGCTCAGATGTTGCTTTAGACTGAGAGAGACGCTGAAGAGCGTCAGTCCAGCCTGCAAAGCTCTGGCACAGTAACATTACCCCCTCTGTTGGACACTTCCACTCAGTGTTGATACTGTCAAGTCTGGTGTTAGATTGCTGAGTGCGCTGAGTTAATCTGACTTGTAAAGACATGAGAGCGATATTTTGAGATTATATTGGTGCTTTTAGACAGAATATGAAAATTCTTTTACACATATTATGGTCAATCGAAAGATTTTAGATTTTTTTTTCAGAGTAATATTGATTTTAGAGGAGAGGATTTACTGATAAACAACATGGCAGTCAATTAATCGAGTCCCAATAGTAAACTTGGATTTTGAAAACCTTTTGTAGGTTATTCACCAGTTTGCTCTTCACCTGCATCACTGCCGATAACTGCAATAGGTCCAGGTCCAGACAGATATTTGGGTCCTTTTCTGGAACTGTTTCACAATTTTTGGCAAAAGTATTCTGGATACGATCCCTCCATTTTTAAATGTTTCTGTTTTTTTGGTCTAATCTGTACCCCCCAGTCTTACCGTTCGCCTTGTCTCTGTTTTGTCTGCAGGTACGCATAGCAGCTAACTTTGTCATCCATGCCCCGCCAGGAGAGTTCAATGAAGTATTCAACGGTGAGTACACCCTTCTCCTTCCTCTGCATATGCTTCAAATGCTACACTTCATGTTATGGATTTTGCTGAAAGCAGTGGAAGTGTACATGCAGCTTAATGTGACTGTGTCTAATACACTGCTGCATATATTCAGGATTCAATGGTAAATTACAGGCAGAAGTAGGGCTGGGCGATAAACCGACTGATACAGAACTCAGGGCTTGAAGACCTCCAGCACGATGCTGGAAATCCGGCTCGGGATTTTTTTAAAATTTCTAAATCATGTAAAAAAAAAACCTAGTTAGTTAGATCTGAATATGACCAGTAGAGGGCAGCATTACGCTGGTTAGCATACTTCCTGCAGAAGAAGAAGGACGCATCATTGAGCAGCGAACGGCAAATTTCAAACGATAGATGCCAGGTACATCAATCCAGGAGAAGAAACAGCGATATTGGAAGCTGGGCTTGGGCAGAGAAGGCTGGAAAAAATGGAAAGCCTCATGGCAGCTGGTGCCAAAAACTGAAAGAGTCAGGTGCTTGTTATTGTGTGTCGTGCGCCGGAAAGCTTATAAATGGCAGCAATGGGAAAAAAGTTTGGTGAAGTTGGAAAGATATTCACAGATTCTGACTCCCGGGATCAATAACTCTAAGACGAAATGTTGTCTAAACACAAATGATTCATCTTTCATGTCGTAATAGCACAGACTACTAGCTACAAGAATCAAAAACCCGTTTTGTTTTACAAAAACAAGCTTTTAACTCGATGAATAATAAATCCCTATGCTCAGCCGGTAGCCGGGCGAGTGCGCAGGGATCGTCTGCAAATTACCATACAAGAGCAAGACGCTGCAAACAAAAATCAATAGCTCTGCTGTTATACAGTAGAGACCCCAAAATCACCGAACACAACATGACATAATTTTGCCCATATCGATATATTCAGTGTCCAAAAAAATAAATCAAAATTGGTTTCGGATGTGTGTAGGTAGGCTATGGTCTCATGTACCTTTAAGACGCTGTCCTACATCCAGTCCATAACAAAGAGGGAAAGACAGGTGAGGAGATGGAGGACGGTTCAAAAGTTGTAGCGGCTGAAGTAGACAAAGGTCATGTGGGAGGGGGTGAGCAGCTTGTGGAGTAGTTATCGTCCATTTATCGTTATTGAGGTGAACTGCTCAATATGTCGTGTTATTGATTTGAGGCCATATCGCCCAGCCCTAGGCAGAAGCCTCAATTTTTGCCCAGCTGAGGTTGTTTGTTGTATTTTTACACATCAGTGAAGTTAGAAAACAGACAGATGGACCGACAGTCAAGTCCCAGCTCTTTTTGACACTCTTGTGGAGAAATCAGGTGTGGACTGACAGCTGGAACTGATCAAGAGAGCACTGACTCTTAAAAAGTTTGAGGAAAAGTTTAATGGAAATTCACACCAAATTGCTCTAATACATAAAAGTTAATGTTTTTTAATCCCTTTATAGATTTAACTTCGGTGTGAAAGAAGCCAAAATAGAAATGCTGCTGTTTATGTGTTATTTATTTTTTCTCTGAGGGAGCAAAAAGAGACGATGATGTTTTGGTCAAACTGCAGCTCACCCTGCAGCTTCAGTGTTGACTCCACACTGCTAAAGCTGTGCCCCGCCAGAGAGTGTGTGTTTGTGTTTTGGCATCGTTGAAACTCCGTCCTGCCCCTATAAATGTCGTCACCTCATAGGAGCGCCAGTGGGCTGTCTGTCTGCCCCTTATCACAGCCTGACAGCCAAACACACACACACACTCACATGAAGACACAGTCCCCTCTCGCCACTTTGTCCCCTTTCATCTCTGCGTGATTTTACAGCCTTTTCCACTGAGCTAATTTACCGTGTCTGCTCCACTCTCCTGGCATAAACGCTGCGAAGATTGACTGCAGGCTGCTCCGGCTTTTGTGTTGCCGTGTGTGTGTCATGGTGTTAATCTGCTGTAGCTGTCTCCTCTCTCTCCCTTAATAATCTTTCCTTTCTTCTCCTCAGATGTGCGATTGCTGCTCAACAATGACAATCTTCTCAGGGAAGGTGCAGCGCAGTAAGTATCCGCCTCCTGCTGTTCTTCAAGGTCTCCGGCATGTTTTCCAAACTTCAAGATTCAGGTTTGAAGAGTGAAAGCAGCTCTGTTCCCTGTTGGACAAACATACAGTGATTTGAACAGTTCAAAAGGCAAAAATAAATGTGTTTCAATGTTTGGACCAGTCTATGCATTTTCCTCTTATACAGCCAGCATGTATTATACAAGCAGACAGAAGTTATTTAGCCGTTCTGTTTGAGACTGAAGTGTCTGTCTCTCTCTCTGCAGTGCATTTGCCCAGTACAACTTGGACCAGTTTACTCCGGTGAAAATTGAGGGATATGAAGAACAGGTAAAGTGATGGGGAACGCCTAGAGGATGATTAAAATCACACCGTGTCGCCTGAATCTGCTGACTGTCACTTTTCCTGTTGCGCATCACACTCTGCAGCAGCTTCAGCACGCATGTTACTGCTCCACCGCATCACTTCTGACTCATTGTTATGAGCTGATTGATATTTGAAGCAGAGGAGAGTTGAGAAAATATGACTAGATCAACAATAACCTGAGCCCTCTACTGTAAAAAAAAAGATATGAAAGAGAGTTTTGATTTGATTTTAATCAGAAATGACTCCCTAACGCAGTTCAGATCGCCTTACCTAAGCAAAAAAAGCAGTTCAAAGCGATGATCCTTTAAAGCAGAGTAAAATCAGCACAGCTAGGGCGTAAAGGCTACAAAGGCGATTCAGAGATATTTTGTTATTATGGCTGTAAAATGGTCATAAAAGTCTGAGAGCTTTGGTCCCTTTTTCTAAGAGAACTTGAACTTCACTTTTTAACATCTGATTGGTGATTATTCCACATTATATGGGATTGTCAGCTGTTTAAAAGAAGAAAATACAAAAACTAATTTGTTTTTTAATGGCTTTTATGAGAGTTTTGATTTCACATTTAAAAGGTTAACCTAGACATGTTTAGAATCAGAAAGTCCTTTTTTTTAAGTCTAGGACTCTGGGTGTGCAAATGATGCACAATTTACTTCGTCTGAACACGCCCTAGTTCAGAGGAAGCATCCTCCGAATAGCTCTTCTCTTCCTCCTCCTCCTACGTACTTTAACGGCTATTTCATATCTTACTATGTATGTACTACTATTTACGACTATTTACTACTATTTATTACTTTATTTCTGCAAAAAAAACACTATTTCGCTTGCTCTGTCTGACTTCACTCTCCTTGTCCACTCTCCTGTTCTCCCTCGCCCCTGTCAAAGTTGCAGTTTTGGTGGTACCATTCAAGATTACGCTAAAATATACCAAACATCATATATTGACAGAAAGCACAGATACTCATCTGAATTTTTTAGATTGAGCAAACTTTCAAGGAGTTACAGTATTGAAAAGCTGTGTAGTGCTCTGCCAATACTTCCTGTGTTTTGCAATGACTTCCTACCTCATAAGTTACGACTATGGTAGTAAATCATATTTGTGAGCATGACCACAGCTCTCAGCGTTAAAATTTTCTGATCAGACAAACTTTGACGGAGTTACGGTAATAACACTCCAGGCATACAAAACATGGTGCCAGCACTATGGCCGTAGGTAGAGGGTCGATCATCAAAACAAAGAATGCTTTTAAAAATTGAATATAGTTATTACTGTTCAACAATGAGTTATAAATTAGAGTGAAAAATAATTAAATAAGAGTGCAAAGATGTACTGCACATTAAACAAAAGGTCATTAACACATCTTTAGGACAAAATGTAATGAAAATATTAGTAAAGAATGGCTTGAATATCATTAAAACAAAAGTTATCTGACTTATTTGCATCTACAAAACTCAAGGTGGATGTATTCAGCGCGAAGACCAGAGTAAAGAGTTCATTAATATGACTCGGAAAAACAAACATACTTTGTTTGTTCTCCATTCTCTGTGTTTTTTTTGTACTGGTTTCGCTGGGATCAGAAAAGTTCTTCAACTTAAAAAGTCAAGTAAAAGAGTCAACACAGCGTGTGAATTTGTCAAACTTTGATCAAAACAGGAGCAACATCACGGGACTCAGACACAAGGACACAATAATATTTATCCAGATTTTATGATGGCTTACATGATTATGGTCTCAGGAGTCTTTAAAAGGGGACAGGGTGTTTGATTAAGGGATCAAACAAGTCCCATTATTCCCCTTTGCCATCACAAGAAACAGGCGCACAAACACATTATGATTTAATGTCACTGGCTGTGAGTTTGTGTGAACACGGAGCTGAAGAAATATGCCTGTGTGTGTGTCAGCGTCAGTAATAATTGCAGGATCTTATGTAAAGATGTCATCATGTCCCTGTGTTCCTGCATCAGGGGTTGAAATTCCCTAGTCTGACACCCAGCAGGCTGAGCTAAGTGCTGAGGTGGAAGTCGTAAGATGGAAACTTGAGGCTGACGTCTGTGTCCTGCATGCACTTTGTTACTTTCTTTTTCATGCTCTGTTTGTCTTTTCCTCTGTTTATTCTCTGTTTCTTTTTCCTCACCTGTGGTTGCTCTCTGTGTGTCTTGCCCTCCTCTCATCTATTTCGTCTCTCTAACTCTCATTTCACTCTTTTCCAGGTCTTAATCACAGAGCATGGCGACCTCGGTAATGGCCGGGTGCTTGACCCCAAGAACAAGATCTCCTTCAAGTTCGACCACCTGAGGAAGGAAGCCAGCGACCCTCGGCCCCATGATGTGGACAGCTCTCTGGAGGGCTGGAGGAGCGCTGTGGACTCTGCTGTCAGGGCTTACGTCAAGGAGCATTATCCCAGTGGAGTCTGCACCGTACGTCCCCCAGCCCACACAGAAACACACTTATATTTCTCAGAGCACATAGAAGCTCCTTACATATCACTTATTGAAGTCTGCAGTCTGACATGCAACCTTTGGCAATGAAAATAAGGGTCAGTGCAGGGTTCCTACACAGTTGGAATTTGCATACCCTCTTTTTTTAGAATTATTTCTTGAAATACCTACTTTTTGTTTTTAGAAAACAGTATTTTAGAACTGTGGTAATTGTCTGGAAACACAGTTGTTTTTTCATACTTTATTTCTCATTTACCATACTTTTTAAGACCTGGACATTGATCAAACTACTTCCATACTTTTCCATAGTTGTTTAGGAACCCTGTCAGTGAGTGTGATATAAACTGTCATTCTTCAAGTGTCTACTAGATTCATCAACAGCCGTGTTAAAATTTTACGTTTACAACCTGGTTTTAAAAAAAATTGTTTTGGTCTAAGCAGCTTGTTTCTTAATTTCTGAATTTTCCCCTCTTTTAACTCACCTGTTTTTAAGAGACTAAAACTTTTGCGTAAATTTTCATGGCTGTGGTGTAACTGTTTGCCAAGAGGCCTGGGACCCACCTCAGTTGTGAGTGTGGTTAAGTCTGCAACTCCAACTCAAATTTGGGATCCATAACTTTTATTGGTGGCGTCACTGAGACTAAATCTATGTTTTATACAGTCTATGATGAAAACAGAGCATATCTGGACCTGACTCTACTGTGACGGCAGCAGGGTGAAGCTCTGAGTAGAAAGACGTGTTTAAATGGTAGAATCGCTGTTATCTAAGCTAGGGCTGGGCGATACGGCCTCAAATCAATATCACAGTATATTCAATCAATCAATCAATCAATCAAATTTTATTTATATAGCGCCAATTCACAACAGTCGTCATCTCAAGACGCTTTTCAAGGAACAAGAGCAGGTCAGGACTGCGCTCATTGTTTGTCATATTGAGCAGTTCACCTCGATAAAGATAAATGGATGATAACTACTCCACAAGCTGCTCACCCTCTCCCACATTACCTTTGTCTACTTCAGCTGCTACTACTTTTGAACTGTCCTGCACCTCACGTCTCCGAAGTAGGACATCATCTTAAAGGGACATGAGACCATAGCCTACCTACACACATCCAAAACCAACCTTTATTTATTTATGTATTTGACACAGAATATATTGACATCAGCAAAATGACGGTTAAATTTCAGTATCGGTAAATTTTCTGTTTATCGTCCAGCCCTAATCTAAGCTTTCAGTGAGAAACACTTATTGTCATTGTCATCTTCACGCTCTGACTCGACTTATAACTTATTTTGTCTCTTTGCTGACACCCAAAATGCAAAGTCTTAATGATCTTCGACCACACACACTTTCTAAAGCGGTCTTTCACAGGAAGCTCAGAGCGAGGACTTGAGTTTCACCTATACAGTGCAGGAAATACCGATTGGCCAATACTGTCTGCTTCATAACACTTCTTTCTAATCATGCAAAGTGAACCGTGATGTTCTGTCACAGATACAAGAGGGTCTAATGTGAGTCCTAATGAGCTGCGGTTTGCAGAAATGAAAACGTGTTATAAATTACAGTCTCGTTTACAGGTCAACACCAGCTTTATTTTGAAGCTGTTAACCACAAACCGCTGCCTCGTTCAGTTGCTTTATATGTGCAGAAGTGAAGTAGAGCTCGGTCTTTGAAGAAGAGACAGAAGAGGTATGAGACACTTAAAATGAGATTAAATAATTTTATTTTATTTTCAGATTTACGGGAAAACCATCGACGGACAACAAACCATCATCGTGTGTATCGAGTGCCATCAGTTTCAACCCAAAAACTTCTGGTATGTTTGCCAAAGTTTCTGGACTATCAGTTTGGCTTTGTTTTGCACCACTTGGCTTTACTTCTTTGCAGTACAGAGGATCAATTAAAGATGACAGCCTGGGTTTCTGTCTGAACATAAAAGCAGTATTCACCCTTGGAGTCCAACAGCTTGTAATAATCTTGTAGTGGTCAGCAAATCACTTCTTATTTTAAAAAAAAGATGTTAAGATACTGAAAAAGCCTGAGCAATCTGAAATGTTTGATTTATAGCAGCCGCTCTAAAGGCATTAAGTTAATTAGCACTTCACACCACAGAGTTTAGACGGCCGCCCCTCATAAGCGTCGCTGAGCTGTTTCTGATCGGGTTAATCTAATTGGATAAGAAGTGCAACAATCCTCTTTGCTGCTGGCTTTCTACCGGGCTTATGGGTTGTTGGGTGTAATGATCCCACGGCTCCTTTATGTGACCAACATGTGTCAGTGATGGGAAAGCAGTCGAGCTGATTAAGGGTAAGATTGTAAAACTGTAATTGACAGATGCACCATTAACTTTCCCTCCAGATATTTCAATTTGCACATTAAAAAAGGGAATAAAATACTTGATGGTTTGGATTTAATATCAAGAAAGCATCTGATTGGAAAGTTTATTAGCTTTTAGAAAGAGTGCCCTCATTTTTCATACTTGTCCAAGCAAAAGTAACTCCATTAGGTTTAATAATATCTATCAGAACCATGCTAGCTGCAAGCACTCTTTTATGGCATCATGATCATTTATTCGCATGTGTGCAGTCCTCAGAAACAGCCCTGTTATTAGAATTTTGTAATTACCGTATTTTTCGGACTATAAGGTGCACTTTAAATCCTTAAATTTTCTCAAAGATTGACAGCGTGCCTTATAATCCAGCACACTTTATGTATGATTAATTGATGTGCTTACTGACCGATTTTTTGTGGTACAATATGCTCAAAAATCTGTCGCAATGTGTAAATACGGCTTTGGCTAGCAACAAAGTAGCTAGCACCACTCAATGGATATTGGGAGCATTACAGTACGCTGTGTCACTACCTGATCGGTCCCGTAACAGGACCCCTAAGCAGTCTACAAGACTGCCTGACTGTAATGTCTAAACTAGAAGCGCGTTCATTTAAGACATCTGGGCTCAGTGTATGTGCTAGCGACAATGTGCCAATGCTTAATTTGCCTTACAATCCGTATGCGCCTTATGTGTGAACATAGACACGTTAATTCACAGTGTGCCATGTAATCCAGTGCGTCTTATCGCCTGAAAATACGGTAATTGTTCATTATAAACGACATATTTGAGTGTCATGAGTCAGCAGGATGAGGTTTTCTTCCTGCTTAAGCATGTCGAAGACAAAAAAAGAAAAGACTGCATTGTCCATAGGGGGCGCCAAAATCAACTAAAACCAAAAGCTGCTCACAGGAGCTTTAAACGTATCTGTTGTTAAATAGTGCAGCTGAGATGAGAACACCCTGCATGGTTTGTTTTCTCTCTTTGCATCTTAACCAAATTCAAAGCTGACGTCTAACTGCTTGATTTTCACAACCAACAACAGCGTGGTCAATATTTGTGTTTCCTGAAGCAGACCATGTACAACACGGAAACTCCAAACTGTTACCTGTATGTGATGTACCTGCAAAAATGTAAACTCACTGGGTGTTTTTCTCCCCTCTCTCCTTCTGTACAGGAATGGACGCTGGAGGTCAGAATGGAAATTTACCATCTCTCCCTCCACCACTCAAGTGGCAGGAATCATGAAAATCCAGGTATTGCATGGATCATATGTGTATCTGTATCAATGTATTTGTCAGTATACTTTTTTCTGTTTGAATGTTCTACTCTGAAGTTTTTAGAAAGCTTGTCCTGCTCTATTTTTACTTTTTTTTTTAACCATTGTTTGAATGAGAGACTGTTGTTGTCTTCTAAGTAGATGGAAATTAAAATGTTGATAATTTCAGGTTCATTACTATGAAGACGGCAATGTTCAGCTGGTGAGCCACAAAGAGGTCCAGGAATCCATGTCAATTTCTGTGAGTTTAACCTTAACACGTGTTAATATGAATACTCATATGTTGTCAGTTTCTGCTTTACCTCTTAGAAATACTAAACCGACTACCTTTTCACTCTTGATATTGATTATGCCTGCTTTTCCATCTTTCAGAATGAGGCTTCAACCGCGAAGGAGTTTGTGAAGATTATGGAAGCTTCAGAGAACGACTATCAGGTCTGTGAAATGTGACCCTGACCTCCTGTTGTAGGTGTTCCTGTGGTCTTAACTGAGCTGGGTTCCTGTTTATATGGAACTTACTGTGGCTCAGTTACCAAGTAACATTTGTGGTGTGAGATAAAGAGTTTTTCTCATGTCTGGGTTGAATGATGAAACACATCGCTTTCATGCTGCAAAACAAGATTTTCCTGTGGGTGTTAAGTTTGAAAAATACCAAAGATAGAAAGCTGAGTCATGCTGATAAATTTAGATGTAGTCTTTTTTAAAGGGAGATTTCCATGCTGACTATTTAGTTTAGCAGTTATGACATTTTATTTAGCTTTTTCTGGAGTAGAAACCCAAATAGAGTTGACCAAGACTTCCAGGAATATAGAGATCGATCAAATATATTTAGATTAATATTGACATACTCCCTTTTCTCTACTCTTTCTCTGTTTTTCTACTGTTCCCTTCAGACGGCCATCAATGAGAATTACCAGACCATGTCGGACACTACCTTCAAAGCCTTACGCCGCCAGCTTCCTGTGACACGCACCAAGATCGACTGGAACAAGATCCTGAGCTACAAGATCGGCAAAGAGATGCAGAACGCTTAAAAGAAAAGAAGAAGAAGAAAAAACACCAGAGAACATAACAGACAACAACCCCCCACCCATCCCCACCCAATCCCGAACAAACATTGCATGACTGGATAGTTGTATCGTCTTTGTACAGAAATTAGAGAAACAGGAACAAAGAAAGGTTTGGTCTCACAGCCGGGTGTCACATTACACATTGGATGTCTACTTTTATTGTGTTATTTTGTTTTTATACAGACACTGATATCTCCTCTGTATATTCAATCTATGGTGATGAAAGATAATCCACAAATATAACTTGAGGAATTATTTCAAGACATAGGAAAAAGGAGGGGCGACACTTGTATGCAAAACATCCCTATGAAAAAAAAACAATATATGTGTGCAATATTTATTGTGTCAGTGAGACCATGCCTTTTATTTGACTTCCTGAATTTAAATAAAACGGTTTGAGTTTGCAATGATGGTGAAACAAATCTGCATCTATATTTGGCTGAAAACAATGACTCCCTTCACCTCACGGTTAACGTCCCGTACAATCAATGATAAAAACATATGTGTTCATTGACTGGTATTTTCGGCACAAGCAGTCACCACTGTGAGCCACTCAATGTTCTTGTCCCCTCATCCTGGTACTCCCCTCACCGTGTGTCCTGTACGTGAGTTTCCACGCTCACAGGCTAAAATCGCCTTTTTCGACTCGACATGATCGTGCAGACTCTTTCTCAGCGCGGAGAGCTCTGTGACCACTTACCTAACAAGCTTGACTAACAAGTCATCAGTCATCGCTAAGTAATGTGCATAATGTCCAATTTACAATAAATCAAAACGTATCACTTTCTCCTCCAGTGCTTATTTTTATTAAAAACAGAACCTGACTGTATTATATAACAAGGCACATTGTAATATATACCTGTATGAAACATCCTGTCTGTCAGTTTGGTGGTTTATTTCCATGAGATTAATTGTAATTCAGTCACAATTATGTTGCATTAAATGACAAATTTTCTATTTATTGACTCGCTCATAATTTCTGGTATCCTCGTCGGATAGAGATAAAAGAAATTGTAAAACATAGGGTGTAAAAAATTTCTGTGAGGTAGAAATCTGCATGTGCAAGGGGTTATGTGCATTATTCATAACAAAAAAATGACCACATACAATCGTAACTTTACTGTTAAACACAGTACTCTTGATTAATACAGCTTTGTTGTGTGGGATGACAATATGCCTTCATAAAGAGACCTTAGAGGTCTTGAACCATACTTTGAAACATAATGGGGACTTCAATTTAACAGTTTGTCCTCACTTAACGCTAATCAACCAAATCAAAAATGCTAGTTAAAACACTTAAAACATCTAGCTTGATATTAAGTATTAGTTGGCAACTTGGTACAGCTTGTTCAGTCAAACATGGCCGTGTTTCTGAGACAAATAATACCATAGATTTTAATGAGGTAAATGAGACTTGAGTAACACACCTGTTGACATTTTTTGAGTCATTCTGCCTCCCTTATTTAGACAGGTTGACCGTTTGAGATACAAAGTCGTGTAAGGGCGCCTTTCATAATGAGAAATTGTCTTTAACTGATGACAGTTTATTTCAACTTCTGCCAATTAAAAGCTCCAGTTCGTGCCAATTTTGAAACCTCCATTAGACAAAAAGCTCAAGATATACTTATTGCTCAAAGAATGACTAGCTTTTCTTGAATAATTGGAAAAAAAATAAGCACATACAATCGTGACTTTACTGTTAAACACAGTAGTCTTTTAATGAATACAGCTTTGTTGTGTGGGATGACAAAATGCCTTCATAAAGAAACCTTAGAGGTCTTGAACCACACTTTAAAATATAATGGGGACTTAAATTTAACAGTTTGTCCTCATGTTATGCTAATCAACCATTTAGTGTGGACTACCGTATTCAAAAATGCTAGTTAAAACAATTGAACATCTAGCTTGATAACTATCATAACTGCCTATAGTTGGCAACTTATTACAGTTGGTTCAGTCAAACATGACCCTCTCCTTTTTGCTCCAAGTACATTTAATGAGGTAAATAAACTTTTGTAACACAACTGTTGACATTTTTTGAGTTATTCTTCCTCCCTTATTTAGACAAGTTGAGTGTTTGAGATACAAAATCGTGTAAGGGCGCCTTTCATAATGAGAAACTGTCTTTAACTGATGACAGTTTATTTCAACTTCTGCCAGTTAAAAGCTCAATTTGAATGCTCCATTCAAGTAAATTTCCTCAAGATATACTCTCATTGCTCAAAGAATGACTAGCTTTGCTTGAATAATCAAAAACTTTCTCTGAAAATGAGTATAAATTATATATTTTTTGAAAGTTTCTCCAAGTAGCACCTGATGTGTTACAGTCATCCGCTTTATGATGACTAACGGTTGCGTTTAAACACGATCTAATTTCGTCAAAAAACGATGGTAAATGAGTGTTTTTCTGTTTTTATTATTTCAAAAGGCGAATTTAAACTGCTACAAGATTAGTTTTGAGGGGTTAAATCGTCTTTTTGACGACAGGTAAATCATTAACAGCGACATCTTGAGGCGTCGGTGGCTAACTGTCCAGGTTAGCGAGCCGGTGGCTAACTGGTAACTGTTAGCTAACGTTAGCCCGTTCGCAGACACGTCTACACACAGTCCGCCGCTGCAGGAGGATACTAGACACATGTTGGACTGCTGGTGGAAGAAATGCGAGCTACGAAGAAGGATTTAACTGGCATTAACGCTTTCACAAACTAAAGGTAAGCTCTATTACACACTTGGCTTCAAGACCGCCTCCACTTTCAGAAAGTTTTAATGTTTTTGCAAACGTTAGCCAGTTAGCGGTTAGCTGGCGGGGGTTAGGGGGCTAGCTCTTAGCCAGGTTTAAATGGAAATCCTCATGCTTTGAAACGTGCGTGGCTAATATTAAAGGCAGAGCAGGGTCTCGATAGGATGGTCCACGATGCCAGGTGTTCGGGTTTCTTTACCGAGCGCCAGTTCAACACAGAAGGGCAGTGAGTTGATTTTTTTAAATCCCCATCATAACCTCTTATTTAGAGTTTACAGTGTATCCCCGAGTTATCACTACACGCTGTGTTTTCGCCAAACTTTTCCAAATGAGGGAAATTCTCTCCGTGTGGGGTTTTCATAATCAAACCAGATGTTAGTGACTGTTGAAGTAAACCCTTAGTTCCCCAGAGCTTGTTAGCCTTGTGGACCAGAAGTGTTTACCTCTGCTGGGCTTTCAGTGTCTGTTCAGTGGTCCAGTTGGCACTCTGCGTCTCCCTGTGCGCACAGCAGCCAGTGATGAGTCTCCTGTGACTGTGTGCTCAGCAGCAGATGGAAGAATGTGCTCTTTCAGAAAGCCAGCTGGCTGCAACCAGAGAGGATAGGAGAGTCTTCTGGCTGGTTAAAACACTTAAGAGTAGTTAATGTAGGTGCTGGAAATGAGGAGGCATGGCCATTAGCATAGGCGTTAGAGGTTTATTTGTTGAAGTGATTAAAGAGACCAATTTAAAGCAGTGCTTTCTGGGTGTTAAGGTCAGATCTAGCCTTTGAATGGTATGCATCCATACTTAGAATTTACCCATTTTCCTGTGATGGTGAGTTCATTTCAGATGCCAGCTCTCAATTTAAAGGGATATTCCGGAGTAAAATTAAGTTAGGGTCAAGCACACCAAAACTACGAGTTTAGACACCCCCTTGAGAGATGAAACTTGCCGACCACTTGCATCTCTAGTTATACCAACTTTAGTAATGACCGCAGATAGCAATACACAGAGCCACGTGCTCAACCAAAAAGCCACTCTATAGCCTCAAATAATGCTCAGAACAGCACCTGTACATATAGGGTCCCAGCCATAGCACCAGCCACCCAACCTCTTTTAGCTTTGCTTGGTTTCTTTAGCAAAGAGACTAAACACAACTCATCGTCTCTCTCCCAGCAGCTGCTTGTTTGTTCGGAGACCTCCAGGCAAGTCCATCGACTGCAGCCAGGGGATGGAGCTTAAGGAAGAACATTCATGATCATTACTTTATCATTTCCTTGAAGTAATCATCATATTAATCATTTTGCTCTTCAGACGCCGTAGTTTTTCTGCCTTAGCGTCTCGGTCATGATTGCATGATCTTGATTTAATTGAAGGCTGATGCAATGACATGGGTGCCACATGAGACTCTCTAAGAGCTTAGCTGCTGCATTTTGAACCAGTTGTAGGCACAATAGAAGCACCTCAGTCGTGCAAATATAGATAGTGCAGGGCAGGTTTTAAAGCAGAAGATAAGAAACCATTTTTTTTCACAACACATTTGGCACAGCATGTTCAGGAGCTCAGATAAGAACCTCAGTTTTGTCAGTGTTTACCTGGAGAAATTGCCCACCATCCTTGCTTTTGATTCCGCTCATGCAGTGGAGTTAAACAGGCAATTATTTTCTGATTTAGAAGTCATGTACAGCCGAATTTCATCTGCGGTGTAATGACAGGAGACATCCTTCAAAGCTTTCACAGGATATCCAGAGCAAACAAAAGGGGGCCCAGGACAGACCCCTGAGGGACACCACACAACCTATTGAGGGATTGTCTGCGCTTTCTTTACACATCACAATAAATTTATTAATTGAAACAGAATAAAAGCTTTGTTATCCCAAGGCAACATTGAGAAGAAGTTGAGATCTTGAAAAGCTTACCATCACAGGTAAATGAGTCAAAACTTAAAGGAACCCATCGAAATTCCCTTTTATCACAAAGGAAAGAGTCAGATCGGTGTGTGTGAATGATTGATTTGATGCATCATTTAGTTTGGAAATAACCAAGATGTCAGAGTCCTGTCAAAACATACATCAGGTTGGTTATTTTAGAAGGGACAAGCTTTTCGTGCACAACATCAGGCGCAGTCAATATGCAAAATTTTGACACTATACAACAACAGCAGATTTTCATAATCAAATGAGCCCTTTAGTACAGCTGGTATGCCAAATGTTTGCACTGCTGAGCTGTGTGTTTATTTATGGAAAGGTAGGAAAGATATCTTTGCAAGATCATCTGTGTTATTTTTGTACAGGCATCATAAAGGCAAATAAGGAATAATATGGGTACAGGTTTAGGGAGACCTCCTTTACCAGTTCTGACTCTTATATGGCAGGCCTTCTACTGAAAGTGAGCTGTTACTCAACATTTCCTCTTCAGCACCAGTACACACATCTGATTGTTCGTCTCATTTCCCTTTTTTTAATGCTGATGACTTGACCTTTACAGTGTGAGATTCAATTTCAAAACTATCAGCCCCTTATTGCACCAGCCACTTTCTCTCAACTGGTTTCTTCCTGTTTTCAGTGAGTGAGTGGATGAGTTCGGGGATCCCCTCAGTCAGATTACTTGCATGTTCTTGTTTCAGGCAATAACTTCAATAACGGCAGCAGAGAAGCAGACCCCCCTGACTACATTCCTACTATGCCTGTTAAGTCACTTTGTAGGTCATGGTCGTTTTACACCCTGCCATCGAACCACAAGAAGTATTTTAGTCGTCGGGTAATTGGAAGTTGTAAGAGAAATATGTAAAGCAATATTTATTGTCAGCTCAGCTCACAGCCCCAGAAGCCTACCCAAGGAACATGAAAGGAACAGACTTTTAAAATAAAACTGTTTTATTTAGTGTTTTAACTGATTTGATCGTAGGATACAGAAAGCATCCCAGCCAAAGAATAAAGTAGATCATTAGTGGACTGAAACTGGCGTTCTGTACTCATTCCAGTGTACGCAGGCTGGGTTTTGAGTCTGACCTGGAATCACCAGGATGCGTTGCCAGGCAGCCAGGTAGTAAACCAAACCTTAACAGAAGAGAGAACTTAAAACAGGACAAAATTTTCCAGTTGTTCAAACAAAGTGATATAATCGAGCGACTTACAACCTATCAGCCTCTTGTCAATATGTTTTGCAAATTGTTCGATATGTCGTGGGTCAACTGGAGGGATGAGACAACCTGGTGGTAATGAGCTGAAAGGGGGCTTGTTA